CTGGCTATGTAGCACCGGAGTTGCTATTTGGAATGGGTCGTGTAGGTGCACGACCGGCACAGGATGCCTTTTCCTTTGGCTGTGTGCTATACAACACCTACATGTTTCCACAGACGGTGCCACCTGCTCGTTTACCCACGGACCAGCTTGCCGACCAATGCACATGGGATGCAGGGGCAGGAGGTGCAGAATGCAGTTTTCCGCACTTGGCGGCTGAGGTGAGTAATATCGCAATATCCCTTGAGCGACAACTGAGCACCGCTTTGATTGTGATTTGCTTTGCTGACCTTTGCTGCAGATGTGCAATTCGACGAGCGAGTTGTACAAGGAAACACGGGCCTTGCTTGCAACAGATCCAAAGCAGCGGCCAATTCTCTTCAGCGCCGGGCAAAGAGTGCAGCGACCTGTCACGACTCAAGCTGTTGGACCAGCCATTGACGTTTTGCGCGACGCACCCGAGCTCATCCCAGAGGTGCGTTGCTTGCCGACATAGTCATATTTACATTATTTTTATCTTGACAAGCCGACTGATTTGACCCCATTGTGTACCAAGGTGGTTGAGCTGCTACAGCAGCTGGGTGCTGACGGGCGGGAGCCAAGCAACATTGCAGTGCGGCGGGTGGAGCGTGTGCAGAACCCCGTGCTGTGGGAACGGTACAGCGCCAAGCGATGGGAGATGCTGCACCGCATTACAAGTCAGGAGCACTATGATCAACTTCATACGGCCACAGTAGATGCGCTCTCGGGCTGTCCAGCTTTGCTTCGAGATACAACCTGTCAAGAACGCTTGTTGCTTCACGGCATCCCCCCTGACACAATGTTGCGCGACAAGATTGTGCGCCTTGGCTTTGACTATCGTTTCGCTGGTCGCAGCTCAGGCCACAATTATGGACTTGGTGTTTACTTGGCCGATCATCCCGGCAAGGTGTGGTGGAACCGTTGGTTTGCAGGGTGATTACGTGCGTGTCCTTACATTTTTTTTTGGCGCTGTGTGTCGACTTGAACCTGAGTGTAGAGTCACCAATATGCGACGCCCGGAGCAAACGGCGAGCGTATGCTCATTATTACGCGGGCCCTGTTGGGCCGTGCCTATGTCCATCCTTCGCCTCCTTTCGGGGCGCTGGCTCCCCCGCTGCTGCCCGATGCACCCAACAACGAGCGGTATGTCGATCAAGATCCAATGTCGTCGAGTCCTGTCTCACAGTTTGATGGGACTCGTGTTTGGTTGTCTTGCAGATTTGATTCTGTCATTGCTACACCGCAAAGAACGTTTCGCGAGGTGATATTGTTCGACAATGCCCAGATTTACCCCGAACTAGTCGTCTACTACACTGCCTAGATGTTTTCGTTGAGATCCTTTGTCGTGCAGTCGAATCTGCTCTCCCAGACACTTGTCCTGCTTTTGCACACATCCAGCGTCGTTCACCACAAGGCCTCCTCGTTGGGAATACCCAAAGGTGGTTTGACTTTGCTTGCTCATCCACACACCAGCTTTGAATGTGGGAAGGCGCACAAGTGCGTGTGTTTCAAGTACTTTTGCAATATCTTGGCAGACCGCCATGCCTAATCCGTCTTTGACTACCGTCGTCTCTTCTTGTCCTGATACCTGCGCTTGGACACGCGTCGCACTTTTCCTGTCCTTGGAACCGAGAGCGATTCCGCAGCTATTTCAACGGTGCACCTGGTCTGGTCATTGTGAATACGTTCCAACCGCAGCTGGTAGAATCGACCTGCAGACAGCAAAAAATGTCTTGCTCCTTCCCGACAAACGCCCCCGAAACCCCTGGAAAAAGGGTTCGTCTCGACTGCGTCTCGAGTCGTTGAGGTATCACGGCGTACCTCAATCGTGTGTTGGAAGCAGTGATGAAACTCAGGATTGCCAAAAAAACCTGAGAGACTAACGGGCGTTGACAGAGTGCTCCAATCATGCCTGAACGGCTCATGCTGGTGATGATGATGATGATGATGTCACGACACTCCACCTCGCCCGAG